AGATGCGGGCGTTCTAAGGTGGCTGGCAAAATTGACGGTGGTTGAAAGGAGTCTCCTCAAAGACAGCAGACACGTCCTGCAAGGACGAGTATTGCTTGCGCAAGCCCCCCTCGTAAGTTAGCCACACAAGGCAATCCCCGGAGTGCCTAGTCAACAATGAAACGTCACGCCAGGGGAAGCAGTTGACAGTGACGGTTGACCGAAAGGGACCTATTAGCATCAGTGATGACGGCCTTTCTTCATAAATGGACTGTTTGGACACTCTGGTTTTTGAACGAGTTCATCACGCGGGGCCGCACGTAATCCGTAACAAAGGAACACTGTCCTCTCATGTGTAACCTGTGCTTACAACTCGGCTGAGTGAGAGAACAGTGCTGACTTTGCAATTGGTTTACAGAAGGAACACTGCAATGACTTGCTGCCATGCTATCGAACATAACCAACAAAAAAAAAAAACTTTACATCTGCAAGATGCTGAAGAAGCTGCACAGCTCACCCGCTTCCGTATCAACCATCATAGGACCGACATCCATTCAGATGACTTTAGACAAAATTTATTGGAATACAAACCCCGACCCGGCAACTGTGTTTGGGTCTGAGTGTCAGTATGTCAATGTGTTTTTGTCAGAAACTTTTGCAACAATACTTTAGGCAGTGCAAGACACTCCTTCGTTTTTGCTCGCTCGAAATCTTGTACCTGATAGCATTACACAATTGCAGGAGTGCTGAAAATGGCTTGATATTGCCCGTCTAGAGCTCCTTGAACCTTTCTATTTGCTGCAATGGATTCTGAGACTTGGTTTTTGTCCTGCTGCATTGATTACATTTAATGCATATATTATCGGCCATATGTTCTGTATGCTACATTGAAATATTGCTTTAATTAAAGGCGGACATTGACATGCATCTCCTTTTAACAGCTAAGCTGTCAAAGCTTGAGGTAAACCGGATGACCACAATAAACTGTCATCATTATGAACAGGTATTTGCACCTCACATTGCCTAAGCAACCAGCCAATTAACATCTGGACAACACCTGGCATATCTGCGCATGGACAAAGCCAAGCCGCCCTTACTGATGACGTCACCACGTCAAATCGAGTTGCGCCTTGTCTATGCTGATCTGAAGCAGGTCACACCAGGACAGAGCGAATTTCGCTCTGTCTGCCTAGCAACCGGCTAGCATGCATGGCTAGCCTTGTATAATGGTGAACGTGCAGAGCTAGGGGAGACAAGGACGGCGGTCTCAAGGACAGCAATTTGAATACATTCAGAGTGGCAAGCTTTCCATATATTCTGGACATGCTCACTCCCGTCTTTTGGTTGCTGCTTCTTCTGGCTAGCACGCTCGACCCAATCGTCGCTGGCATTGTGATTTCTGTGTGTCAACATGACAAGCAGGTGACGACTAGCTTTGCTGTGCCAAATTTTGCACTGACTTGGTGCAAACTTACCGCAGTTGAACTTCTTTTTTTTTTGTTTTCATTGTGTCTGGGTTTGACTGGTGAAAGCTGTCACGTGTTATTACTTCGTGTCAGCCTTACAAAATGTATCAGCATCATCTCATGTGATTTGGTTGATCTAATAAGATGGCATGCCCAGTCCACATAGTTTAGTACATTTTAAAACTTTCACGAAACCAGCAATAGCACTGAAATGTTCAGCGAAGCATATATGAAAGTAATTTACGGTATGGGAAATTTATATATGTCTGACGACAGTAGTTGGAACCATCTTTGCACTGTGAGCTTCTCGTATTTCTAGGCTCGACTTTGCCCTACGGTCATGATCTTTAAAGGGGCCCTGAAACACTTTTTTGAGTAACCATAGAATTCACTGGGAAGCATATTACCTCACAAATTGAACGCCGCAACAGTTTTAAAAATCTGTCCAGTACGAGCGGAATCGCAAAGATTTGTCGCACGCTTTAATCACATTCTCTCTTCTCTTGTCCCTACAGAAGTGCTGGAAGATGAGCGGGGAGGGATGGGAGGGGCAAACAAAAAACACTACTTGTGCCTCGTGACCTTGAGCATTTTTTCTTTTTTTTTTCTTCAAAAACGCGGCTTTTTCAAAAACGCGGCACTTGTCCACGCGCATGCGTGGACAAGTGACGGCCTCTTGCAGCCACTTCTGTTACAACCGAGTGCGCCATGTTCAAATCAGTCAATGGCTAATAGGTGGGCTTATTGGGCTTAATTTCATGATTTGTTGAGAGAAAAGAAAGCTATTTTTAGCTGACTTTGATAATTTATTGTGAATTCCAGGCCGCGTGCATCGCTATAATGTTTGGCTCGCGTGTTGTCGGAAGCCTCTACTACCGATCGGCAGCGTTTTCTCACCATGCTCAAAAAGTGTTGCAGGGCTCCTTTAAAATTTCGGCTTCTGCATTTTTTAACTGTTACATCTATATAGCAGCACGCTGAAACAGTGACTGTACCAGCCACCACAAAGCAGTGTTGCCTTCCTTTCTTCTCTGGAGCTTCGCCTTACGTCTTCATATTATTGCGATAGCAGTTATATGGACACTCTCAGCTGGATTTTGCCGTCGGCATCGACATCGGCGTCACTCACCGTATATGTATACGTATTTATATATATATTAATATTCAAAGAAGAAAAATAATCCACAAAAATACTGCGGAGTACGGAATCAAACTTGTCAGCCTCTGAAGTGTGAGTGCGAGGCGTTAACCACTGATCTACGAAAGAGCACTTTCCTTCAACGTTCGAACGGCAAGCTATTCATATCTACCCCTTACCACTGGTGACGTCCATTTCAGGGGAACTGATTATGTTTTCAGCATTACCAGCAAGATGGCGCAATGAGTGCGCGATGCCACATTGTCACGACGCAGCGGCGCGCGCTCTCATCTCCCATGCGCACTTTGCCCTGCGGAGAGAAGGAGGGTGGACGCTCACTTGCACGCCCTTATCTCGCGGTGGAAGGATCGTACGTCTTGGCTGGCTTTGGGCTTTCACTAGAACGATTCTGTTGTAATTACCGGGCGCACAAATGTCACTGCCATTGTTACACATTCTTCGTTTGCGAAAAGGTTTCAGACAGAGCGAAGTAACAACTAAGACGCTTATTCGCGTTCATCTGTACCTGTGAGTACGTTTGGTGCGTCATTTGTGCGTGAGAAACACTGGGCACATTTCAGGTCTGCTTGCCTATCTGTGCATGGCCTTCCAATTTGTTGCTATCACGTTCATTTCTTCGTCTTTGCGGCAAAGCTGTGACTTACTTAGTATTTCACCTTCTCCGAAACTTCATCTTACCTTAATATAGTACGCTTGCCAATTGGGTCTTCTCTAGCCTTCGCTGCCAAACAGAATGCAGATTCCACACAAGATTACATTTCAGTCACAGGGGATGTGTTTGTGCTGAATTGACCATGTTCTGGAGCATCGCATGACATTCGCTGGGTGAGCGCATTTCGCACCACGTGACATTCCCCTTGTAGTCCCGACAGAAACATTTGCCATGGGCTTAGTACTTAGGCAGATCAGGAGGAGCTTCAGGCACATTGGAGAGGGATTCCCTGGTACCCAATATGAACAGGACAGAGATAAGCGACAATCTGCTGTAACCATATTGTCATAACGTATTTATCAGCACTTCTGTCACTGGGTCGATAGTTGCCTGCTAGTGAACTGTGTTTGTTAAATACGGAATTGCACTCCCAATTTTTTCATGATAAGTTTGTCATTGGTGGAATTCTTTTCTCAAAGCCCTAAGTTTTGACATTGCTTTCAGCATCGTGCCTATCGATATACTTTCTACTGCAGGCTTACGCACAGTTTGTTGTGTAGCCGGGTTGTACGAGCAGTTCAGTTTTACTGCACAGATATTCGTGCAGACCTGTTGCGGATTCTTGATATGTCACTAAATTGTGAACTCCTGTAGCGGCTGATCCTACCTTTGTAAATGGTTAGTTTATCAGCAAAGGGAAATACTTTAGGTGGTGGACACACTCATGTTATAGCAATACTCAATGCAGTTTTACCAGATTGAGTAGCATTTGTCTGGAAGATGCAATCTGTATATGGTGGTGCTTTTAAAGATGGCTTACTAAAGCCAAGTGCCTAAGAAATTCTTTTTTTTTTTTTTGCATCTGTGTGACCTTTGTTTGAAACTGGCTTACATAGTCCGTCTCTGTTGTCATTTGTACTTGACCATTTTTTTTTTACCTGTTAAAGTGACCAGCTTCCCCGTGTCATAATATTGCCAAGACTGTACTTGAGCTCATTTTTTGCAAAAATACAGTATGACTGCTACAATGGCTATCAACTTTGTCCAAAGGCCAAAGAGAATAAGTGACTTTAGAGACCACTGTTATGCAGAGTGTCTGCTCTAGAAAGCTAAAATTTGTAAGCTTTCATTGGTAAAAAAAATACGGCCACGATTCAATGATAGCACAATGTCTAATGTTACAATTTTGCTTGATATAAGTGCATAAAAAATGGTTTAAAGCAAAAAACAAATGCTAACCAACTCATCTGCTTCCAAGTGTTGATGAACAGTTTGAGGATTGCCAGCACTAAAACTTTATTCTGTGAGCAAAGATCTTTCAAACTTCAGAAGTCCTGGCTTACTAACATAGCGGTGGCACTATCAGGGAATTTAGATTCTAGTAGAACAATTTGAAAATGTACTTTTGATATTTTATGTGGCTGAGATGATTGTGTAAACAATATATTTAATTAATTATTTCATAAAATGCCATGGCTCAGTGTGTTCTGTGATCAGCATACGTAGCATGGAAGTTTTGCAGTAATACTTTTATTTTTTTATTCTCTCAAGGTTTGCTCTTCGAGGAGCTCGACAATCACGCGGTCTCTCAAAAGGCGAGGAATCGGGACGAATCACCACAGCAAGTTGCCTCACATCCTGACAGAGCCCGATCATGCGAATGGGGATGGTGAAAAAACGAAGTCGCTGAGGTCCATGAAGTCTCCAGTGAAGTGCAAGTCATCGTTGGCAGATGGCTCGAAGCCATCATTGTCTGACAGGGTGCAAAAGTCAACCTCTTTTTCGAAGCTGTGCACGAGGTTAAGGTCCTCCCGCATTTTTAGAGAAACAACTCACGATTACATGTACGAGTCACCACAAGCAGGTGATCGAAAAGAGTTGCACAAAGATGCAGCATTCACAACGGTCAGCCCGAAGCCTTCTTGGAGTGACCAACCACAAGAATCATCGGTGTTTTCAAAATTGTGCGAGAGGTTCAAATCTTACGGCATCCTCAAGGACGCAGGTGGCGAACAAGATCAGGTTGTTCCTGAAAGTCGTTCGACCTTCAGGAATGTTTATGAAGGACTGCAGGCTGAACGCCGAAGGCGTGCATTAGGTGGCAGCACACAAGAACATCTTGGCTGCGTAAAAACTGTCGGTGCTTTGTCGTCAGGTGGAGGTCAGGCATTCAACGTAAAGCAGGAGAACGATCATCCCGAAGCTGTCACAACAACTTGTTGTGGCGATGAAGACATGATAAACAGGCTTACAGCAACCATCGCAGGATGTAAAGATTCAAGAGGCGATGTTTTGTGCGAACCAGACGAGCCACATGTGGAGGAGGGCACCCCGTCTGCAGACGAGACAATCTTGGGAGATGATAAGTCAAGTAATGCACGTGAAAAGGCACCTCTTTTAGCTAAGAACAACAAACATCCGCACAGCTCGGGGAAGAGTGGAAACTCCACCAATTCGCCAAGGCGCGGAAGAAAAAATGCTGCTCTCAAAAGGCATTCAAGCGAAGAGCCCGAAGACAAAAAACCACTGGGTGAGGACGCTGTAGCCACAGGCGAACAGATCGAGAGAAAAAAAGCAAAATTGAGTAAGAGCCCCTACTTCAAGGCAGCAGGCCATTCTTTAGGTATCAGGATTGGATCTAGGCCCTGGGTGCCCCCACGGTCACCGTACAACCTCGTGCAAGAAAAGCTGTATCAGGATCCCTGGAAAGTCCTGATAGCAACTATATTCCTCAATCGCACTACAGGTAAAGTGTTAACATTATTCAGTGCATTATGTAACTGCTCTAAATGCTTATTTGAGAAAGTACACTGACACCTCATTATAGTAAAGTCGCATTTTACATGAAAATATGTTCATTATACAGTCAAGCCTGCTTATAACGAACCTGAGCGTGACGCGGCATCCATTCGCTGTATCCCGAAAATCGTAGTAAATGAAACACAGCTTTTTAAAAAAGTTGCGAGTGAAAACACTAACTTTTTGCCCCTTACAGTCCGTGATGCACGTGTTTCGAAGAGCAGAAGCGATAAGGGCGGTCTCGAGTTCGTTTAAAATGGCAGGGTGCTCGTTTGCCGAGGCCCGTGGCATAAGCTGCACTGAAGCACTGGCTCCAAAGTATCGTCGTTCTAGCAATCAGATTCCTCCAAAGCGCTCTCGTTATGTACTTCATTCACAATGCCCTAATCCATGCACGATTCTGCAGTGTCGGCATCATCATCAGGCCGTAATGAAACCATCCCAACAGATGTTCCACTCGCTCTCCCAGGTCGGAGTCGACGACGCGCTGCCACAAATTACCGCCGCAGTTCGGAAGCTTCCGGCTCGGCATCGGGCTCGACGTCGACAAAGTCGGCCTCGCAAGAACAGTTTCGTGCGTATGTAGCCGTCACCGCCGCGCACGAAATATTCACCATCTTTACAGCTGAATACCGGGACACCCGAAGCGGCAAGTTGGCTGCCAGGTGGTCGAGAGCTATGAGCAAGCGCTTCAAAACGCGGCATTTAACGCGCGGATTTTGCTCAAGCCAAACGGTCACACTTCCGACGTTTTGTTGAGCAGCAGGAAAAAGCGTGCTAGTCCTCCCGTCGGCCATCATGACCACACACGCACACCAAGTGCGAGTAAGACGGGCACACACGACACACATGTCAGAACGCGTGGAACAGCTCTGGGCTAGTTTCCAGCCAGCAAACGAAACTGATTCGAGCCAGCGTGGTGGGCGTCCCGGAGCGGCGGAGACGGGCAAAGGGGTTGCGATCAAGAGAGGAGAGCAGACTTGCGAGAGAACGGCAAGGAGTTGCGATAAAAAGAAGGGAGGATGCGGCGGGAGGGCAACCTTGAAAACCAAAACACACAGGAAGAAGGCAGGTTGGGTAGCTTGCTTGAAAGGTCCGCGAAGCTCGCACGTAGAAAAACTTGGAAAGAGTGCCTGCGTGCGCAGAAGTCAAAGCATGTCCACCTGGATCGGTGCGCGCGGCTGGTGTTAGAAAAATCGGCGGCCTGTGGTTAAAAAATCTATTTGTTGCGGCAGCAAGGTTTGCTGTGGCCTCACGAACTTCGATATTTCGCGATTTGTTCCGCGCAAATTAACAGCCGTCTTCGCGCTTTCGCACTGCACGCGGAAAGCATGCTGAGCCGAGTGCGAAGTGAGCGAAAACAAGTCTTAAACACGAAACGAATCGCAAATTATCAGAGTCGGTGGGGTAGCGTACGCGCGTGCACTAGACGCAGACTATCGGATACAGTCGGTGGCCGACCGATGTTGGCAAATGGTCTGTTCACTCCATGCCGGCGGCGCCAACGACACTACCAGCGATTAAACGCAGGGTAGATGGCCGACCGGTCTTCGAAAGATCGGTGAAAGTGTGAAAACACGAGCCTTGTCTGGCGATGCGGGGTGCTCAGAGTAGCGGGGGGACAAAGGACGTAGGGGTGCGTAACAAAAAGCAGTCGGGGCATGGAGGAAGGAAACAGCTTTCCTTCCTCCATGAGTTGGGGAGAGCGACAACTAGAGGGTCGCGAAGGCAGGGTCGGTGTTCAACAATAAGAATATATGGGCACCTCGCCGATGCCTGATCGGTGGCCGATATTGGTTTCCCGGGAATTCAGCAGACCGCTGACTTCGTTCACTGTAACCGATCAGCGGCGCTCGGAGAAGTTCGTTGTAAGTGCAATTTTGTGTCATTGAACCAATGTATATTTTCACGGTCACGTGGATATTATTGGTTTTAAGTGAAAATTCGTTTTAAGTGGGGACGTTATATGTGGACTCGACTGTAATAGAAAATTTGTTATAAATGTGTATTCATAACACTGTATCTATTGCAAAACCAGTCTTCCTTTGCTTCGTTGGAACCAATATTTGGTATATCCGAGTTTGTTACATAAAGGTTTGAGTGTATTAGGATAACAGAGAGCTGAGCTAGTGGGTAAGTATTCATATTAAAAGACTTGGTGTGCAAAAAAAGACTTCACTTTACTGTAACTTCTTTCTTGTGTCTGTGTTTGCATGCAGCAGCTTTTTGAAATTCCGAGAGAACCACTGCACAGCTGCAATTCGGACTCTCAAGTCTTCCAACAAAAATCTGCACTGTGCTTAGCTAAGTCTGTGGATCTGTAGAAGCTGTAACACAAATATAAAATTCATATGTTCAACTAATTGCCACACTGCTTGCACATGACAGTGGTCTGTTCGTGGTAGATACCATGCACTAGCCATTGATCTAGCTGAACTGTTTTATGGAAAAATCTCTGCTAAGTTTAGAGATATGTATGTGTAGGATTAGAATTTGTGTATACAGACCCTGATTGCTTGAAACAGCCTGCAAAATTCTGTATTATGTGGTGTATGGTTATGCAAGTAATGATTTCATGTCCTCCACTTATTTTTTGCACCACCCTAGTTGTTTCTTACATAACCTTAATGAAACCCAAATGACAATGAAGCCGAAGGAGGTATTGCAGCAATTATGGTGTAATTGTGAAGCAGTTAAAGTGGGCGAAGGGAGACTTGCTGTCAGTAGCAGCCAAGCCTACAACCTTTGGATAATGCATCCAGTACTCTGCCAATTTAGCCACAGTTGTAATTGTGGACGTACACCTGGGAGTGTTAGCCAGTGCTATTTGTAGCCATGACAGCGAGTGCGGAACGCTCTTTCTTTCCAGCTGGCATCACATAGCAGGTGAATTTTTTCAAGCTGGCAGCTAACCAATACATCCTTGCATACTTGTCTTGGCTTCTTGGCTTCATTGTCACTTGGTTTTCGTGAAGGTTGTATCTAACAAAAAACAAAAACAAGTCTTCTGTAAAAAAAAATTCTCCCCTTGCTCTTTTTTTTTACATAAAAGTATTGGCAACCTACTCTCATGTGAATTTTCGTTAGATTGTACCGACAGTGCAGCGTTATATGCTGACATGTTTCTGTAGCCTGAAGAGCACAGCAGTGTAACTGCAAGTCGCCATCACGTGCTAGAGATTCGTGTGACGCGAGCAAAAGCTTAGTTTAACATCATAACACCTTTGCATAGATGTCACTATTTTGCCAGTGCCAGTGTGCTTGACGTGTGCCTCTGTAGTCAATAACTTATGTCATGCCGCTTTGTGGTTCTCTCCATTGTACCAGCAGTATCAGTACGGTGAGAACCAGAGCCAAACAGCAACGCGCCACTATACCAGTGACGAAAAAGCCTTGGAGCAGAAGTGTACAGTGTCGCTGAAGTAGTAGATGTTTTGACCTGCCAGTATATAACACAGCCACTGACGTTACGCATGATCTTCGTGCTCAGGTCACATGACTCTTGCGTTGTGACGCCAACTTAAAGATGTGTCACGTCCTGCTATACAAACATCAACGAAAGAGAGCTTTAAAGAATATATAGAGGCTTAATGCCATCAGCAGTGACCAAACATAATTCAATTTGAATGTCAGTTGTATCTTTTTTTTTTAATATGTTGGAATGTATGCAAATCATGTTTGCATGGATTGAAATATTTGTAACATGATCTGGCACAGCCAAGGCCTAGTCCACAGAACTGCTGCTTGTAAAAATGTACTAGTGAGTGCTGAGGGAAACTTCATGTTAGGAAATGTTTTACAGACTTATTTCCACCTCAAAGAGACCTGGCTAGGATGTATTACATGAGGCCCGGGTCACACCCTCTGGCTTATACTCTTTATTTTTAAATACCTTTGTTAGGTGGTACTGAAAACAAGTAATAAGTGCAGAGCCGAACCACGAGATTGAAGTAACTAGAAGAATAAGAATGGGGTTAAGCACATTTGGCAAGCACTCTAAAATCATGATTGGTGGATTGCCACTATACCTCAAGAAGAAGGTATATAACAGCTGCATCTTGCCAGTACTTACCTAAGGAGCAGAAGCCTGGAGGCTTACAAAGAGGGTTCAGCTTAAATTGAAGACAACGCAGCCAGCAATGAAGAGAGAAATAATAGGTGTAACCTTAAGAGACAAGAGAAGAGCCCAGTTGATCCGGGAACAAACGGGGGTTAAGGATATCATAGCTGAAACCAAGAAGAGGAAATGGAAATGGGCCGGGCATGTAGTGCATAGATATAACCGCTGGTCATTATATAACCGCTGGCATAGATATAACCGCTGGAGGATAACCGCTGGTCATTAAGGATCACAGACTGGATTCCCAGAGAATGCAAGCGGGTTAGGGGGAGACAGAAGGTTAGGTGGGCAGATGAGATTAAGAAGTTAGCGGGTATAAATTGGCAGCAGCAAGCACAGGACCGAGTTGACTAGCGGAACATGGTAGAGGCATTTGTCCTGCAGTGGACGTAGTCAGGATGATGATGATGATGATTACTGTTGGCCAGTGTGAACATAGGAACTCTCACAACTGAAAGAGAATCAGAGCCACATTCAGTCTCACCACAGAAAGGTGAGCCACATCACAGAAAGGTGATGCAACATAATCAAGCACTAACAATTTACTAAAACGTTGAATCGACATGTGACAAGCTACAGTTGGGTTGTTGTTGGCACACCGTGCTGACTGCCAGAGCTTACCAATGTTTGACAGAACTGCCAATGCTCCTTCCTTAAGCTTAACATTGCGAACAGCGCCGTCACAAAATTGACAAGAAATTCTACACAAAATATTTTTAAATGACTGCATCACTAAGCCATTAACTAGTGCTAATGACAATTGAAGAGCTTGCTTTTTTGTTTGTTTCATGAAATGTGCATTTTGGTGTTGTACTTTTATTGCTGTGTATGTAATCCTCTGATTGCCTCAATTATAGCGCATCATATGACCTAACTGTCAGCACTTTTTGTGGTGCTCTACCTCTCTGTGTAATGTTGTTTTTGCTAGCTCAACAGATTTTCGTGTTGACATTACAGGCAAGGCAGCCATTCCTGTATTGTGGCAGTTCCTCGATCTCTATCCAACTGCGCACGCTGTCGTCAATGCGAACTCCGAAGACATTGCAAACCTGCTGCAGCCACTTGGTTTGCACAGGAAGCGTGCAGACATCATACAGAAGTTCTCCGGTCAGTACAACCACTCTTTTTGTTATTTCATGCATGCACAGCCATATCAGTTTGCAAGATGGCTGTTAATACATCACACCCATTTGTCACCGCTATCTAGACATGTGCGGGTACCTTTATTAGTGGCCACTGCTAGCCTTGAAGAATTACCATGAGCTTTCCGCAGAAAGAGGGAAAAAAAATCTTTGGCAGCAAGTGACACTCCATAATACTTGAATGCAAAACTTGCTCCACACTTGGTAATACATTAAGTTTTAGAATTGTGGACCAAAATTCTTGAAAGACAGTGTGAGTTGCAGTGTGAGAAACAAAAACATGCATTGAACTGCCGTGACAGTCATTCTAATGCACAGTTCATCCCTACCTGAAGCTGTCCGCACCTCATGTGGTGTTGCATCACCTCTGAAAACAGTTACTTTTGACAGAGTGACGATTCCATGTGATGGTGTAATCATATGGCGTCACGATGCCTTCATAATGACATCACCTATTCCTGCAATCCGTTGCATCATTGTGGCATTACATGTCATCATTTATGGTCATGCGGGTCTTTGTACCACTTCAGTCACATGCTGTGCTTTGTTGAAGAGACTGCTCAACGACACACCTAATGAGGTTGCGGCGGTGAGCAACCTCGCAAACTCGTGAAGTCTCGGTTTTCCCAGAGAGAGAGAGTGATTTGGACACGACCGCCACGATCAGAAGTATTTTAATAACTGAATCGAACGGCAGTGCGCGCAGGCTCATCGCTGCGGCCTTGTGCAAGAGCAAGCGGCTCGCCTTCTTTGCAATTGTGATGCAGCTGCCGCTACTGAGGCCTCCCTTCCCTAGAAAGGAGGAAAATCTGACAAACGATCAGAACTCCAGGAGGCATGATATGTCCTGGGTGTGGCATAGAAAGGCAGTGATCCAGAATGCGGTAGTGTTACATCGGTTACATTGCGTGACGGCGGGGCTGATGGCAACGTTTCTTTGAAGAATGCAGGCTTGAGTTGTTCAAGAGTGATTGTGTCAGACTGGCTGTTGAAGTTGATGTCAAATGTTGACGAATGATGCTCCAAAACTTCATATGAGTTGGAGTAGCGTGGTTGTTGTAGCACAGTTGCGCACGAAAACGTTTGTAGCTGAGGTGAGCTGCAGGGACATGTAAGAAGCTCGCGCTTCGTGCGGGTGTGTAGACACAGCGCGTATCTGCTGAAAGATGTTTAGCAGTTCAGAAACGTTGCGTCTGAAGAGTGGCACAAGTTTTTTTGGCTGGGGGATAAAAATAAGTTGCATGGCAGGCGTAGTGAACTGCCGTAGACCAGCTCTGGGACATGAGCAGCTCAGGTCGTTTTTGATGGCAGCTCTGAGGCCAAGCAAGACGAGTGGTAGTGGGACGATCCTCTTCTGTGGTGATTTATGTGCCATGAGGGCACATAAATCACCACAGAAGAGAATCGGATGCCAGGGAGGACTTCAGAAGACTAGCCCATTTGTTTGTTGGTAGTAAGAGGCCATGCGGAGGCATGTCTCGAGAAACTTGAGGAGTTCGTTGAAGAGCGCCGAATCAAACTGCCGGCCGCGATCGGTGACTATAATAGATGGGCAGCTGAACCTTGAGCGCCATGTCGACATGAAGCTTGCCACAACTGTAGCACTGATATGTCGGCGATGGGTGTAGCTTTTGGTAACCGTGTACAGCGGTCGATGCATGTCAGTATATAGCTGTAGCTCTTGGAAGGTGGGAGAGGGCCACTGGAAATTTTCGGCGCTTCTTGCTTCACCTGTGCCGCTTGCCGACCGCTGCAGTGGACCCACTCTGCTGTTCTAGTACACTCTAGTTACATGAACTCCTGCGGAAGCAGAAGGATGACAGCTTTCACAAATCATAAGAAAGAATTGCGGCATCGCCACCAATTCTCAGTGTTGCTGCAGGAAAGTTGCATCTGTGTGAGCTTTCCAGGTGCTCGTTTGCTTCAATTTGGGTGCACTTAGGAAAGGCCAGGTGGTTAAAATTGGTCTGGAGCTCTCTATTATGTCCTTTGGCAACATTATATTGTGATTAAAGTACAAAAAGCACCACAATATTTGAAGAGTAATAAAACTATAGGTGCAGCAAAGCACCCATTGGATGATAAACCTCTAAGATTTCAACGCTCTCAGGTGCGAATGTACATTTCTTTGTCATTTGGAGAAGCAGCCGAGGTACACCAGGTAAGCTGTATCTTCCAGCTCTGTTTGTAAAGGGAGCAGTTCTCTATTAGTATTGTGGTTCAATAAAACAGATCATGTCTTCTTTTTTACTTCAATTCCCTGCGTAAAAAGCAACATTTTTGTTGCAAGAAAGTTCACAAGATGGAGGAAGTTTCATGTGACCTCATCGGTCTCGGTGGGCTTTGGATTGTCAATTAATCTGTCCTCACACTGCAATCTGTTGACCTCCTAGATAGCTCGGACAGCAGAACAACAAGCCCAAAAGAACATTAGCTATTGGCTCATATTTTGGACCAAGATGAATTCTTATTCATTATGGAAGTTTTTTTTTTATCTGTGAAATTGATCAAGACCTTCTTGTAGCCTTGCGCTGGGAATGGGTGGTAACCATCTTTTTTCTCTTTCATGAACTTTGTTTGATGAATTTGTACGCCGTCCTTATTGAGTCAGCACATGCACGCCTTATGCCAGAAGCATTTTGCAACTGATAATGATCTAACTATGAGGGCACGATTTCTCTGCAGAGGAGTATCTCACCAAAGAATGGCGCTACCCGGATGAGCTCCATGGCATAGGGAAGTATGGCAACGACTCGTACCGCATCTTCTGCGTCAACGAATGGAGGAAGGTGAGGCAATATCATATCTGTTGTGACCTAGTGTATTAAAACACCTTGCGTGCAGTTGTGGCCTTTATTTTAACTATAAAGGTCTCTTTTATGGAAGTAACAGTGCTGCAGTGGCATGATGGTTACAATGCTTGATGGCCGATCAGAAAGTCATGGGTTTGATTCTGGTTGCATTGGTAGTATTGGTCACATTGGTCGCATTACAGTGGGGGCAAAAAACTAGAGAAATGCATTGTGTGATGTCGCGTGCATTAAAAAAAAAACGATGGACCATCTCCCTGAAGGCAACCCTGATGGGATGCGAAGCAGCAGTGGTGCGCACAGCGCTGACCCGGTTGAAACGGGCATCGACACAGGTGCTGGAAGAATGATTTAAAGCAAAGCCTGGTGTAGCGTTTACTCGAGTAAACGTTTGTTTAAAACGCATGGACGCGGCAGGCGGGTCATGTTGAAGACGCTTGCGCTCGGCTTTCTTGGCTCGCGTCTATTGGTGTTACCCGCACACTATCTGCATATTGTCACGATGAGTCACAAGTACTGGGGGGATTTATTGAACAACCGGGTGGCTAGCTCTAGGACGATGCGTCAGTCGGGGCTGGCTCTCGAGCAGAGAAGAACGCGATCTTCTTTTTTCCTCCAGATTTAGAGCCGCTCTTGCTGCCAACCCACTACGTGCTGGCGGCATTATCCCCCCTTCCGAAAAGAAAAAAAAAAACAAGTACCAAAAAGAGGAAAGGAAAGTACATAGCAGCACCGCGATGGTACTACATAGGCACGTGAAAAAAAAATGGAAATTCGGATGAAGTGAAAGTAAAAATTGAAGAGCGTGCCTACATAGGAAACGTCAATGACCGAGAAAGTAAGGTCACAAAATAAACAAAAAACACAAAGAACGCTGTACGGTAAAGGAAAAGTTACGAACAACGCGCAATAAATGGCTTCATGCGCAACACATGAACGACGTCCGGCATCAGCCGTGTCCTGCTCCGTCCATGGGGTGTTGAGTCCGGAACCACTTCGTAGTTCACGTCACTGACGCGGCGTAACACTTTATATGGGCCAAAGTACCGGCTCAGCAACTTTTCACTAAGGCCACGGCGGCGGACGGGCGTCCACACCCAAACTTGATCTCCGGGGCTGTAAAACACTTCTCTGTGGCGGGTATTATAGCGTCGTGCGTCTGCCTGCTGTTGCTGGCCGATGTGCAGTCGCGCGAGCTGCCGGGCTTCCTCGGCACGCTCTGCGAATTCTTCGGCGTCTGTTGCCAACTCGTCTTCGTCCTGACACGGTAGCATTGAGTCTAGCATGGTCTGCACTTCGCGGCTGTAGAGAAGCCAAAATGGCGTGAATCGCGTGGTCTCTTGCACGGCGGTATTATATGCGAAGGTCACGTAAGGTTAGATCCGGTCCCATGTTTTGTCCCTCTGTCCGTTATTACACTGGAAAGAGCACCGTGTCGTAACACGATGTGGCGCATGAAAAATTGTGCTACCTCAGAAGCCGTGGCTCGTGGGATCGCCTGGGTTTCAGCGTAGCGTGTCAAATAGTCGGTCGCGACGATCACCCATTTGTTGCTGTCCGCAGACATAGGAAAAGGCCCGAGAATGTCCATGCCGACTTGGTCGAACGGCGTGCAGGGTGCTTCAATGGGCTGAAGCAAACCAGCTGGCTTAACAGATGGTTGCTTTCGGCGCTGACATTCCCGACAGCTCTTCACGTACTTCTTGACGCTTGCCGAAAGTCCTGGCCAATAGTACCTCTCACTCACTCTGGCAAGTGTTCGTGAGTAGCCCAGATTACCGGATGTGGGTTCGTCATGGCAAGCGAAGAGGACGTCGTCTCGCATGTCTCGAGGAACCACCAGGAGGTAGGCACGGTTGTTCGAACGAGCGTTCTTCTTGTACAGCACACCATCTCGAAGGCAGGACGGCAACGAGCGGAATAAATGACGTGGTATGACTGTGTCCTGGCCCTCTAAATGATCGATGATCGGACGAATCTCTGCGTCATCCCGCTGCCGTTTACTCAAGTCTGATGAGCTAATGGCGCCCAGGAAGCCTTCGTCTTCCTCTGCTTCCTGACTGCCGACATGAAGGGGCGCGCGTGACAGTGTGTCAGCGTCTTCATGCTTACGGCCGGACTTATGGACGATGGTGACGTAAAATTCCTGCAGCCCCAAGCTCCACCGTGCTAGCCGTCCTGAAGGGTCGCGCAGGCTTGCCAACCAGCAGAGGGCGTGGTGGTCCGTCACTATCTTGAAGGGACGACCATAAAGGTACGGGCGGAACTTGGTGATTGCCCACACGACTGCGAGTCACTCTTTCTCCGTAGTGGAATAATTCGCCTCAGCACGCGATAGAGAGCGGCTGGCGTAGGCTATCACTCTTTCGATGTCTTCTTGACGCTGAACGAGCACTGCACCGAGCCCAATGTTACTAGCGTCGGTATGGACCTCCGTGTCAGCATCATCGTCGAAATGAGCGAGAACGGGCGCTGATTGCATGCGCTGTCGCAGCTCATCAAAAGCTGCTTGTTGCTCGTTTTCCCAGACAAACGGTGTGTCGTCTCTTGTGAGACGAGTCAGAGGTTCTGCTATCTGTGAAAAGCCATGAATGAATCGGCGATAGTAGGCGCACAAACCAAGGAAGCGCCGGACGGCTTTCTTATCGACAGGAGCTGGTAATTCGGCAACAGCGGCAAGCTTGTCCGGATCGGGACGGATTCCTTCGGCGCTAACTACATGTCCAAGAAACTTTAGTTCTTTATAGCCGAAGTGGCACTTCTGTGGCTTTCGTGTGAGGTCCGCCGATCGGATAGCCTCCAGCATGCTGCGCAGGCGCTGAAGGTGCTGCTCGAACGTGGCAGAGAAGACCACCACATCGTCAAGGTAGACAAGACAAGTCTGCCACTTCAGCCCTGTGAGGACAGTGTCCATCATTCGCTGGAAAGTCGCCGGCGCTGAACACAAGCCGAAAGGGAGTACTCGAAATTGGTATAGGCCGTCTGGAGTCACGAAGGCTGTCTTTTCGCGGTCTCGCTGATCTACCTCGATTTGCCAGTACCCGCTTTTAAGATCGAGAGAAGTGAAATAATGGGCATGACGAAGTCTATCTAGCGAATCGTCGATACGCGGTAGCGGGTACACATCCTTTTTGGTCACGTTGTTAAGCTTTCGGTAATCGACGCAGAAGCGTAGCGACCCGTCCTTCTTTTTGACAAGCACGACTGGAGATGACCACGGGCTGTTGGATGGTTCGATAACGCCATCGTCAAGCATCTCGCGAACTTGCAAACGTATCGCTTCACGTTCTTTAGCCGACACGCGGTAGGGGTGCTGGTGTATTGGGTGTGCGTCCTCGTACGTGATGATCCTGTGTTGAGTGATGGACGTCTGGCGGATCTTCGAGCAACTTGCGAAGCAAGACCTGTACTCGAACAAGAGCGCTCGCAGCGCAGTCTGGTTATCGGTGGACAGATCAGGATTGATGTCAATGTTGCTCATTGATGTGTCTGCGTTATCCACTACTTCTGACGTGAGACAGTTGGTTACGTTTGCTACTTCGTGGGCAAACGCTATCGAAGTGCCACGGAAAAGGTGTCGATGCTCATTGCTAAAGTTGGTAACGAGCAATTCAGATCGGCCGTCGCGAACGTGTATTACACTTCTCGCTACACATATGCCTTGCTGCAGGAGGTGTTCTAAATTTGTCTCGGCCACCACATCGCCAACGCTCAAACCACAGCATGTTACGTCGACTAGAACACTGGCTCGGGGAGGAAGCGTCACGCTCTGTTCAGAAATACGGAGTACGTCGACACGCATTTCGTCATCCTGCACGTTGATTGCTCGCTGGGCTGAGAACGTGACGCGGCGCTCTTGCAGATCAATGATAGCTCCATTTTCCTGTAGAAAATCAACTCCCAGAATGACGTCACGGGAGCATTCACGTAGAACAAGGCAGCTTGCTACGAATGTGTACCCTTGAATCTGTACTCTAGTTGTGCAGGCACCCAGTGGAGTAACGACATGGCCACCAGCTGTCCGAATCTGCGAGTTATGCCATGGTGTGATTACTTTCTTCAGCTGCGTTGTCAGTTTCCCGCTCAGTATGGAATAGTCTGCGCCGGTGTCCACTAACGCATTAACTACACAACCATCAATTGTTACTGCTATGTCGAGTGAAAGCCGGCTATCCTTTGCAGCAGCAGGTGATGTCGGACCAGTTTCTGTATTGTTCTGCGTCAATAGGAGGTCTTCAGCGCTTCGACGTTCAGCGACCCCGCCCCCAGAGGTCGCTTCGGCTAGTTTTCCCGGCGGGGGCTGGGAGATCGTGCGGTAGAATACCGCTGGGGCGTTGATGAAAATCGCCTCGGTGATGGCGAGCGCGACTGGCGCCCGGCAGATGGTGGTGCATGCTGCTGGGAGAGGTAGTTTTGGATGTCGCGTGGTCTCTGACCGTAACGGGGTGGCGGCGAGTACGCAGAGAAGCCGCGAAGCCCAAGACGGCGATATGGGCGCTGGCGGTACAAGTGATCAGCTTCTCCGCAGTGAAAGCACAGAGGCCGGCGATCAGGTGTGCGCCAAACATCAGACTTACGAGGAGACGTGCGCCGATCGTCGATGTACTGAACTGGTTGCACTGAACGATGGGCGACAGAAGCACCAGGGACAAAGGGCAGGGGCGGTGGCATGTACGTGCCTTCGTAGTACAATATGTGCTGCGCTGACTGTAGTGAAACAGCAGGAACAGGATGGACGAATAATGGCGGCGTTGCAGCAGGGCGTTTCAAGGCTTCCGTGTAGGTTGTCTCACGGCGGTATTCAGCAGGAGCTGGCACAGCTGTATCACGAGACAAGGTGTCCCGGAGGGCCTGGTGCAGCTCATCCTTGATCACAGTCGCAATAGAGTTGACTGTAGGATGAGGTGTTACACCAGCCTTTTGTAACTCTTCACGTACTACATCACGGATGAGTTCACGTAGACAGTCGTTGTTGGTTC